GCCATGCCAGTGGATAAGACATTCTGTAAGTTCACGAATGGTAGTTTTGGCAGAAGTATTGAGTGCAGGGAAGGCAAATCAATATCCAAGGTAGGTCTCTGTTCCAGTAAGAGCAAAACGCTGCCCCCGCCATACAGAAGTGGTCCTATGTAATCAACCTGTCACCAGGTTGCCAGTTGATCTCCCTGAGGAATGGTCTCATATTTTGGACTTAACGCTGGTTTCTGCTGCTGGCAGGTGGGGCACTCACCAGTGGCAGTGGCCAAGTCAGCCTTGTTGAGTGGAAGTGGGAGACAAGCAGCAATAAAGAGCCGAGTTGAGTCTGGCCACTGACACCTATGAACCCGATTCACAGGGACTAGAGAAGAAAACAAGAGTGGTTGACTGGTCTGAAGTTCATGACCTAGCACAAGGGGGCTAGAGTTGTTGAGAATTTGTGATGGGGCCCATAGTCTAAAGGCAAGGCAGCCAATGGGCACCCGAGTGAGGCTAAGTGAGGCAGCCCACTTTGAGTTGACCAGAACCTGACCAGATGAAGAGAAGATATTTCAGCCTATGAACTGGTGCATGTTGTTGCTGACTTTATGGATGGCCTGTCCAGATTTGACTTTGCTAATGGATGAGGACTTCATAAGATTCCAACTGGAATGAAGGTTCTTCACATGAAAGAATATGATTGTCTCCTCAGAGCACTGGGTTTATGTAAGTGCAAGGTGACCAGATGTCCTGCTTTTGGCAGGACAGTCCCGATTTTTAGCGATTTTTCACGTGTCCCACGGCATTTTTAAAAGTTGCAATTTTTGGAAAGAATGCATGACAAGCTAGGGTATACGGTTTTCGGCTGCCATGTGGCTATTTCGCCATGATATGAGTTTTATCAATGGTGTCCCGCTTTACCAATGTTAAAATCTGGTCACCTTATGTAAGTGGGCAGTCTAGAAATTGGACACCCCAAATTGGGAGGATAAAGGCATGAGGTGGCTGGTTTACAAACTTTCATAGGTTGGGGAATATGTTTGTAGGATGATGGTGTAGGTGTTCACATAAGTATAGAATATTTTTGTTTTGTTCACTTATAGGTTTTATATATATATATGTGGCATATTTTTAAATTGTATGCATTTTAGTTTTATCCTCTTAGGTACATATATGATTTTATTGCTTGTTAGAAAGTTATATAAGGCTAAAGAGTTCTGTCAAGTCGACAAGAGGTGGTCTGTGGTAGTTACATAATCTGTTGTCAACTTGAGACTTAAGAGTGAAGGGGTAGAGTTTAGCCTGTCAATCAGGTCGCAGCTTGATGACCTCATTTGGAGTTAAGGAGATAAATAGCTCACCAGAGGTGGGACATACTTTCACTTCCTGCTAGACATTCCTGTGGACAAGGCTCATGGAGCTGTGCTGGCGGCAGCCAGAGCTTTGAAGCTGGAGGAGCCATGTGGAGACCCATGCCAGTGCTAAGATACTTCCACTGCCACTGGATCCACAAGACTTTCCACCCACTGGCCTGTGACCTTCCTGTACTTGGCGTCCTTGCATGTGTTACGTGAGTCTGAAGAGGAATTTACAGACTGGTACTGAACATATGGGTTAATATCGGACTTATGGACTTGATCTGGACTGGGCTAGGATGTTTTCTTAATGTATAATCACTCTTTATATAAAACTCTTTCCTGTACACATGAGTGTCTATGAATTTGTTTCTCTAGTCTGCCCAGACTAACGCAAGTATTTTGTTCTAATCCATTAGTGGAGACAAGCAGTTCAGCTAGCCATTTAGGAGGCAAAGAATGGGAATTTGGAAGATCTGATCAACAAGGGGTGTTTCCATGAGGCTTACATAAGCCAGATGGGGATAGTTGGCTCTTTGCAATAAGTTGTTCTCCAGAGCACATGGGAGGACAGGATTTCCTGTCCTGCTCATTCGCTCATTTTCCAGGAGCACAGGGTTCAGGCAAAAGCCCACACTGCCATATCCAGGGGTGAAATAAATGGGTCATATTGTATACATATGCTTGCAAACATGTTGGTGCTATTTTACAGTCCCGCCGTCAGTGTATGAGAGTCCAGATTCTCCAAAGTCCCGCCAATACTTGGCATAATTAGACTTTGTACTAGGCGTGTGTCCACTGGCCTGTCAGCTTGCCGTACTGTGGTGGCTTGTGTGTTGCTGGGATGCTGGCCGCTATGCCACCAGTATTTCAAATATCAGTAGGGTCACCATGGTGGGCAGGTTTCAGTGGAGTTTCCAGGCTGAGAACAGACTACAAAGAACGAATAGGCTGCCTACCTTTGAGGGATTCGTCACTAATGAATAAGAGCATAAATAACATTGTCAGATACCATGCCAGAAGATTGGCACCTCAAGTTGGAAGGAACACAAAATACAACTGCCTCCTGAAAGCAGAGCGGCTTTAATGACATGCATGGAGCAACATTTTTGAGACCGTATGTACGGGTGGGGCACGACTCAACATGAGAAGAAATAGCTGCAACACCCCATTAATAATCACAACATGGAATACATGAAGTATGAATCTCAGAAAGTCAGAAGTCATCCAAAATGAAATGGAACACGTAAAGATCGATCTAGGCAAGTGGGAGTTGAAATGAACCATTCAAGACAATTTTGAGGCAGACGCTCAAAGTAGGCTTGTACTATGCCAGGCATAACAAGTTCAAGAAGGGTGGCATCATCAAAAAGAACACTTACTGTCTATCCATTGCTGCTAAGTGCCATCAAGTCTGTTCGGACTCACGGTAGCCCGATGTACGACAGAGCGAGACACTGCCCAGGCCTGTGCCATCCTCACAATTGTTCTTCCCGGCATGGACGCTCCCTGTAAGGTTTCTTGAACCTAGCAAAATGACCCGATCCCTTTGGTGGGCTGTAAGCGCCTTCTCTGTATCCAACCCAATCTTTTTGTGGGAAGGGAAATAGAGCAGTATTTCACTGCCTCACACTGCTTGTGTTCGTTTTTCACAGTTCCCACTGGTAAGTCTCCACGTTCACTCGCGTTTTCCTCTGTCATGTTGAATCTCCTCTAGTGTATTTTTGCCCTTAAACATTGTAATTTGCAGCTCTAGAAATTTGATTTGTATATTTTTAGTATCTTCCATATTTTTGCTTACTTTTTGTAACAAACTGAACTTAATTAAAATAATGAAGTATTTTTGTCTGTTAATTCTAGTATCTGTCAGTTCAGATTTGAGTTAAAATGACTAATTATTCTTTTATTATGGATCACAATTTTCTGTTTCTGTGTATGCTTGGTAGGGGACAATGATGGTTCTTGCAGGATACCTGGGCCCATGGCCAATGTACTTCATACGTGTCTCATCAGTCTGTGGAGGTTTGTCTGTTGCTATGATGCTGAACAGGGTTCAGCGAACTTTCCAGACTAAGATAGAATAGGAAGAAAGGCCAATGTACTTCAGAAAATAAGCCAATGAAAACCAGGAATCACAACAACCCATTCCCTAACTGACCACGGGGATGCTGCCGGAGCAGGCATTTTGTTCTCTTGTGCACAAGGTCACTATGAATTGAGGGGGTAGCACCATGGCAGTTAACAGCAACAATAAGCATGTCTCCCAACCGCTGATTGAACAGACCTTGTGAAGGTTATTATGACAGATACATACATTTTTCCCCATGTGTTCCTATAAGGGTGTTTCCAAAAGTTCATGTAAAACTGTGGTTAAAAGGTCATATATTTTTTTAAATTTTTTACCAACTAATTTTTTTGAAGCATCCTTATATAAATATTGTTCTGAGCTTCTTCTGGGATGCAGCTTTGTAATTTGGAGACCATTTGATCCTTTTGAGTCTTGCTTTTATGAAGCTGGGCAGGTGACACTGGGGGCAGTGCTCAATCTAAGATTGATTAATTCCCACCAGAGGCAAGACTTGCATGAGTTCTCTAGTCAATGCCCCACGAATTCCCTTTTCCTGATCTGGCTGATAGACACAAGCAACGTTTTCAGCCCTGTTGCATTCTGATGTCCTTTCCCTGGTATCGGGTAGTGGCTTTATGAGTATGCAATGCTGTATTGAATACGGAAGGTCTCTGCAGATCTCTGAGTTCTCTAGCTGCCCTGTTCTCTCCTCTCCAGTATTTGTGCTGAAAGCTCTACTCCCTTGGTCTCCTCAGATTCATTGTTCCATCTCCACAATTCAGAATACACTACCTCTGCCTTGGCTCCCCTTCTTTGACCTGCAAACGGAAATGCTGTCAACCGAAGTAGCTGGGACCATGCTGGAGCTTGCCTCCATTGGTTTCTATCTCCCTGGGCCGCTATTCGTCATCGCCAGATGTTCGATCTCTGGAAAACCACTGTGTTGTGTAATCTGTCTGTTTTTTTTGTTTGTTTGCGTTTTTGTTTTTTGCTTGTCTCAATAAATGGTCCGTATTACTCCATCTGGTTCAGAAGCAGAAATCCTCTTCTTGGCAGTGGCCTCTCAGTTAAGAGTTCTTCTGCCTGCTCTCCTTCAGCCTCTCTGACCACCTTGCATGGTGGGTCTCTTGCCTGGAGAATGGACCAGAATCTCTTCTGCACATCACGTTCACTATCCTCTGAAACCCGCTGCCTCGCCAGACTGGCTCTACCAGCGCGGGATCTAGGAATAGGCCTTGCCCCATCGTCTCCCTCATACCCATGTTCTGCCACCATTGAAGGCTGTCCGTTCCCCTCGTGAACATCTCTGTGCTCTGGCCGCCCTTCAGTGTCGCCAGCGCACATCTCAGCTCTGGGCGACACCAGCCAACCAACGCAGCTTCTCCAGAAGTGGCCAGAGGAGTACAGAAAAGTGCTCACGAGACTTCCCACCTGTGGGCGGGGACACTCCGCGCGCACAGCGACTGGTTGGGCCAGATAGCTGGAGACGTCCTCTATTGGCCAGCGTTGTCTGACGTCACTAGCGAGCGCCGCTGCTGAAGACCTCTTATTGGCTCTTCGGGCCACGCCAGCAGGAGCGGGGCGGGGCCAGCTGGAGTGTGTTTGTGGTGAAGTTGTCGCTCCTGGGGCCGCCCGCGGTCTCCGGGATCGTGTTGTCAGCGCTCGGGTGCTTGCTAACCTTCGGCCCCGGCCCCGCCTGCTTGAGCCTTAGCCCGACAGCAAAGGGCGCCGGAAGAATCGACCTCTGCTGCCTGGTAGGTCCGATCGGAGCCAGGGTGGCGGGCCTTCAGACCCTTCTGAGCCGCGGACCGAGGGCAGACCCGCGTCCGGCCCCAAGGACCGGGCGGGTGGCCCCTTGTAGCGCCAACTGAGTGCAGGGGACGAGGCTGGGCAATCAGGGGGAACGGAGGGTCCCCGGCTTGCGTTGGTGGGAGGCAAGGGGTCTCACCACTGACGCTTACTGATCGTTACCTCGGCGGCTAAACTACGCGGTTTCAGTCCTCTGTCCCTTTCTGCTAATGCGGGGGTGAGGGAGGAGGGGAGGTACGGGTGCAGTGGGAGTCTGGCTGTGCCTGTCACGTGGGGCTCAGGGTTACCTTGGACAGCAGTTGACCTGCCTTCACCTGAGCCGGCGGCCAGCCGGGGAATACCGTTTCCCGGAAGCCTGGCTGAGTGCAAGCAGTGCATTCAGGGGACTCCGGAGGATCTCCTGTTAGAAGTCCCTACCTGTCACCGCGGTCTCCTGGACTAAAATGCCCTTGGGAGGCTGTCCTGGGGGCTGAAGCTGGATTTTCAAATGTGCATGACACCTGGTTTCTGAACCCAGGGCTTCAGTGCAGACGTACAAGGACTAGCATCCACGGCAAGCACTGAAATTGCTGCCCCCCAGTCCCTGTCCACACACCCCACGTCCATCGTAACTACTTAGCATCTCCGTGCACCTTGGACAATTAACCCAGTGATCAAAATTGGGCACCCTGCCTTGGGAGCCCAATTATTCATTTGTATGCAGGAGAGACCATTACAAAGAAAACCCTCTCACCTGCCTCACTCCCCCACCTGGGCCTTTCCTGACCCGCAACTTTTCTCCCTCAAGTGTGGTGGAAGGTTACATCAGAATAAAATAGTCCTTAACAGGTAGAAACTTTACCAGAAGAAATGAAAACGTTCGGATAGGTGGAAAATTCCTAATCTTTCTCAAAGAGTCTCAGCTCAACTCAGCATCACTTATTCAAGGAACTAAACCAAGTCAGGGCCTCTGAACTTCTTCACGGCACTAGTGGCTGAGTCTTTGTTACTTCATCAATTAGGAACATCTGTTCCCCAGAGCCGAATGGCAGGGCTGAAGTCTGTTTGGCCTGCACGGATTCTCCAACGCTCATAGCCAAGCAGGATGTGAGGCTTCAGGAAATATTGGTTGCACGAATTCTAGAATCTTGGGGACCTAGCCTCATGCCTGGCATGATGTAGTTGCTCCTCCATAAATGTTACATTTCATACCTTGACTAAAGAAAAAAAAATCAACTTATAAAGTGTACCAAAAGAAACCCAAACCCACTGCTATGAGTTTATTCTAACTCATAGCAACACTATAGGTTTCTAAGACTGTAAATCTTCATGGGAGCAGACAGCCTCATTTCTCTTCTGCAGAGCAGGTGGTGGGTTTGAACCATTGACCTTATCGTTAACAGTTCAATGCTTACAAGTGTTGCAGGTTAAAATAATGGATAAATCTGGGCCACTTCCCTTGTGGTATGTCAGGAATTCGTGCTGGAGTGAAGGAATGGGCTGCAGTTGGAAGGGATCCTCATGGTGGCTCAGGGCTCCCTCTCGCCTTGTTTTCTCCACAGGCTCTGATGCTGGCCTCTGGTAGAAGGAAGTTCCTTTCGGTTCTTCTGCAGACCCAGAGGTGGCCCTCTCAACCCTCCAGAGACATGAGACTGGTACAGTTCCAGGCACCCCACCTGGCCGGACCTCACCTGGGCTTGGAGTCAGGGAATGACAGCGGGGTCATCGACCTCAATGCCTTTGACTCCACACTCCCCAAGACGATGGTGGAGTTCCTGGAGCAGGGAGAGGCCGCCCTCCAGGTGGCCAGAAGGTGAATGAGCAGGAACACAGCTTTGCAGCTGCTGCCCTGGCTCCTCCCCCGTGCTCGCTCCCTCTGCCCTGTGGAAGGGAACAGCCCCATGGCTCTTCTGCAAGAAGGCGGGGTAACCCCACTTCTCTTGGTGACACACCATTGAAACAAGATGGAACAACACCCCAATTAGGGAGGGGCCAACAGAGGTCCCGGGATGCAGATTAACCACCACCACCCAGCCACATTTGGTTACTTCCTAACCCTGCCTTCCCTGGGTATGAAGTGCCTGCCTGCCTGCCGGAGTCAGATGGAACTGGGGGATTCAGAGGCATTTGGGGGAGCAGGGGAATGGTTGACTTCTTGGAGGAGAGAGGCCTGCAAAGGTCTTCTCAAAGATGATTTGGTTTTTAGGTTTGACCAGGCTTAGGTGGGGGCTTCCCAGAAGCCAGGGAGGAGCCCCATGAATCTAAACCTAAAGGTTGGCTCAAGGGTGTATTGGAAGTGCTCCGGGCTGTACGTTCACCCATCAAGTTAGCCGAGATACACACATTTCACAGCACCCAACCGAGTGACAGCAGAGGAAGCGCATGGCTGGTGGGAGTGTCTGGAGTGGACCGCCTTTAGTGAGGGCTGTTTGAAATGCTCTGGCAAAATTACAAATGCACGTAGCCCATAGCCTTTGACCCCACCATTCTACTGTAAGGGACTGTCTGCAGTTGCCCTCCATGCACGCAAATGCTCTCCAGCCCAGGTGTCCCCGCACCACCTTCATGTCCCTCCTTAGGGAGTCGGATGTGTCTTGACAGGGCAGTTGGTGGCTGCTGTAAGTTTAAAAAGAGAGAAGCTCCCTTAGTACTGTTGGAGCGCCTTCTAAAGTGTGTGTTGTGTGTGCTTGTCTGCACAGAGTGGCAGCAATGGCTGCACTGGAAGCAGTGGTGTCTCCCAAGAGGCCAGCAGGTGACTGGGAGGGACGAGCCCTTAACATTCAGACCCTTTCGTACCTTTGATTTCGCTGCCACGTTCAGTTTTACCTAGCAGCATGGTGGCAATTGACACTGATGAAGAGTCAACCGTGCCCTGATTGTCAAGGGCAGCGGCTGGACTCAAGGGTTAGTAACCCTAGAAGACGACACTGTTTTAAAAAGCAAAACTTGTAGTTGTTGTAAGGTGTCTCCACCCCCACCCCACCTGCCAGCCCCCCTCAGGATTGCTGGCTGCTCCCAGCCAGCCCCTCTCCCGCTCGGGTCTCTGCAGAGCCCTGACAGCTTCGTTGCCAGTCCTGCGACGCTCAGATGTGACCTTCCTGTCCCCGGTCACTCGGCCCGACAAGGTGGTGTGTGTGGGCATGAACTATGTGGACCACTGCAGAGAGCAGAATGTGCCCGTGCCCAAGGAGCCCATCATCTTCAGCAAGTTCGCCAGCTCCATCGTGGGGCCCTACGACGAGGTCGTCATCCCGCCGGAGAGCCAGGTTGGTGCCTCCTGCCCCACCCGAGGGCCCCTGGGCACATGGAGTCACTTGTTGCTCAGGAGTGCTCCAGGCAGAAACTGCAGGGACTTAGACAGTCATGAGAGTGGCCCTGGGGACTAAGAAATGTCTTTTCCTGATTATGAAAGTAGTATACTTTAATTATTGAAAATTAATCAAATAAAAGTTAAGATGGTGTCTCCCATATACTCACACCAGCAGTGCGGGTACCTTTGCTAACAGAAAACTCGTTTTCCCTTCAAACTTTTACTTTAGAAATGTTTTGTAAATTAGTGGCCTGCAGAAAAAGCAAACACCCAACAAGACCCACTGCCATCTTATGGGCTGTCAGCACTTAATCACTGCACCACCAGGCCCCCTCACACGGAGCCCAATGTCCCATGTCTCAGTTGGTAATATATTTCAAGTCACCCTAAAGAGGACTTTTAATTTGGTTACTTTTATATACTGGATCGGTCACAAATACACTTTGATGTGGCCCTTTACAGAGGTCCACAGACAACTCCTTAAAGGGCCAGTTATAAATATTTTAGGCTTTGCAGCCCTGGTGTGCTGTTGTGTCTGCTCCACCACTATGATGTGGACGCAGCCATGGACAATATATAAACGAATGAGCGTGACTGGGTTCCAATAAAACTTGATAAATAGCCAACCCTTAACCACAAACACCGCCCTGCCCTTCTTTCAGGCCACTGCCAGTTAATAGATCCCAGACCAGCTGTGTCAGGGCATGCCCCTGCCCCGGGTTAGTCTGGTGTTCCTCATTATTAAGTTCAGGTTAAACATTTCTACCCAGCAGTCATTTTCACTTCACACTGGTCACGCAGTTCACGTGATCTGTTAACTTCGCTCTCTGCATTAGAAAGCCTCGTTTTCATTGTTGCCATCAAGAACCAAGTTTGAAACGCTATGACTAGTCCCATCACATTTCCCCAGCATGCTCTGCTCCTATCTACCTATTGAGCCCGGGGCATTATCTTGTTTTTTGTTTAGATCTTGGAGAAGAAAATGTCCCCTCCTTTTGTGCCCCAGCCCCAGGATTGTACATTCCTAGCTTTATGGTTGTTGAAATCGATCCCTTGCATCCTTTGTGATACTCATATGGGGTCTGTGGTACCTTCCCTTTGTAAGTATGCCCTGGCTCTCTGGCCAAGATATTCTTTGCTCATCTTGTACTGTCTGTCTCGGACCTACAATTATCCATTTCCCCAAGTAACCCCTTAGTGGGTGGTGGCATAAAAGGTCCAGACCTGTGTGCCGACTAAGTTCATACCAACCCTGTCACCAAACAGCACAAAGTCGGGGGTTGTCGGCCACTGCCCAAAATGGGTGCATCTACAAGTCACACCTGGCCCACTATTCACCCACCTCTGGTTGGTGGTGATGGCAACGTGGCAGCCAGCAGCTGGTCCCTGATGTGGATGTGCTACCTGTCAGAGGATGGGGCTGGAGCCCAGAGCCCTCCGTAGCTCATGTTCCTGTGCCCACCCCTACAGGAGGTCGACTGGGAGGTGGAACTGGCTGTAGTCATTGGGAAGAAAGGCAAGCACATCAAGGTGAGGTGGAGGGGGCGGGCTTCTAGCTAAGTGGGGAGGGGCCTCGCTAGTGCTGGCCTGGTTCTCCCACAGTGGGGCCAGCTGCCATGACACAGAGAAGTCTCAGCGCCCCTGCAATGCCATCCCACCCCTCCCCTGCCACACTTGGCTGGCGTAGCTACCAGTGGTGGGATGGAGGCTTTGAGATGCTTTAGCTTAAGAGTTTGGCATCATCCGAGTTCTAACCTCCAATACTGCTAACTCCCTCCCCAACAGGCCACAGATGCCATGGATCACGTGGCCGGCTTCACTGTGGCACACGATGTGAGTGCTAGGGACTGGCAAACGAGACGTAATGGGAAGCAGTGGCTGCTGGGAAAAACCTTTGACACCTTCTGCCCCCTGGGCCCTGCTTTGGTGACTAAGGACAGTGTGACAGGTAAGTGCTGACCACACCCACAGGGTGACCCTTCCTATCTCTGCACTGTTCCTGCCTTTGCAGGGGCATTCCAGTGTTCAGAGGCAGGCATGCCTATTCTGGTTGAGAGGAGCCAGCTCACCAGCTGCCCTTTGGCTGTGGGCCACCAGCTCTCCAGCAGCCCCCTGAGCTGCAGCCCAGTTGGAACAGCCCTTAGTGGAAAGAAACAAACACTGGCCCTGGTACAGCGCCAGGACGGCTGTCTCAGAAATCCGTGCAGTTTCTCATGGGCGACCCAGAGCACCCACAGCCCTGACCCAACCACTGTGGGGGCAGAACAGCCCCGAACTCGCAGCCCCAGGAAAGAGTCTGCAGGAAGGGCAGGGGGTAGAGTGTAGCCCCTTCCCAAACGGATGCTCAGCCACGGATGCAAAGCCGCCTCATCAGAAAGTTAGACGGGGCCCAGCTTCTCCACCTGGAGGTGGAGGGGATGTGTATAAATCCTAACTAGCAGAAAAGCAGAATGTGTTGATCAGCACATTCACAGGGAAGGTAGAATGGAGGGTTCTAGATACTTCCCGGGAAAGAGCAATCGGCCAGCCTCTCCAGTCAGGGCCTGTCCCTTCAGGTGCTGCCAAACCCTAGCCCTTTTCTCCCCCTTCAGTCTGGGAGCGCCCTCCTGAATACACCTGATGATGCCGCAGAGGGAGCAGGGAGTAAGGCAGGGTATGGTGGGCCTCTGCCCGGAGGCAGCCTAGGCTCATGCACAAGGCCGCTGCAAGGAGTGCAGGCGCACCCCCAGGGACTGCAGGGCAGCCCTTTCACCTGGCATGCCAGGAAGCCTCCGGAAGCTTTGTTTTCGAGCTAAACTGAGGGCGGGCGTGGGGGAAGAGGCTCCCCCTAGAGGTTCTGGTGGAGGTTTGTTGTGTTTCATGTCAGATCCACATAACCTGAAGATCTGTTGCCGCGTCAACGGGGAAGTGATGCAGAGCAGCAGCACCAGCCAGATGGTGTTTAAGACGGAAGAGCTGATTGCCTGGGTCTCCCAGTAAGAAGCCGCCTGCCCCCGCCCCCAGAGCTGAGCCTGCTGTCCATGCCACCCCAGCCAAGGGCCTCATCTGGCCATCTGCTTTGCCTCAGGTTCGTCACTCTTTACCCAGGGGACGTCTTCCTGACTGGGACCCCCCCAGGTGTGGGTTTATTCAGGAAACCCCCCGTCTTTCTCAAGGTAGGTTGGGTAGGTGGGATGGGAATGACCAGGAGGCATGGCAGACTGGCCACATCGTGTGTGTGTGTGTGTGTGTGTAGGGGTTGGGGCATGTTTGGGAGTGACCACAGGTGATGGCTGACCTGCTGTTACAGAGGGGAGATGAAGTCCAGTGTGAGATCGAGGGTCTAGGCATCATCATCAACAAGGTGGTATGAGGGCACCTGCAGCAGGCCCTGGACTTGCAGCGAGGCAGAGGCATCATCCCCTTGGTGACCCGGACTGCCCAGTGATAGAGTGGGCTGTGGCCCTCTCCCAAGTGTAAGGGAGAGGAGGTGGGGCGAGTGCCCCTCAATAAAGTTCCCAGGCAAGAGCAGCAGCCTGGCTTCGGCTTGCGTGTGTCCTCCATTAGGGTCTGGCTGCAGGAGTAAGACAGCATCCTCACGGGGCTGGGAAGGGAGACGCACACAGATGCACTACAAGGAGTCTGCTGGGCTTGGGGAAGCACGCGTCCCCATGTATCACACTAAAGTAGCTGGTCGGACCGCAGACTGATAGTCCAGGGAGTATTTGCCAGGCCCTTCTCCATCTGTGTGCTGACACTAGGGCTTGGCCGCGTCCTGACTCTGAGAGGTCCCCCAACAAGGGCTCCTCCCCCAGTCCTAGCCACAGACGAACTGCAGGATGAACTGTTCCAGCTTTTCCTGGTTGTCCCGGTTGGCAAATGTTGGAGACAGGTTGAGCAAGGGCCCTGCCGGACTGGGCGTCTGCTGCAGCACCTGGGGTGGGAAACAGCTGTGAGTGGGCATGGGAGCACGCGCTTCCAGAAGTCTCAGGGGGACCTCTGGCCCCACAGACACCTGTGTGCTGCCTCGTCTCTCTGGGGGAGCAGGACAACCATCCTACCTCCTGCGTCCTGCTGTCACTGAGACCCAGAATCAGCCCTAAGGTGGCAGAAATGGGCTCCCCTATGCAGCTCAGTCATTTGGGGGTATGGGATGATAGGTGGATACGGAGGCCAGTCCGTCTTACCCCCAAGTCTCTAAAGGTCCAGACAGCACTGGCCGCAAGCTTTAGGTCCACACACTCTGGAAGACAGAAGTAAAGGCTGGGGAGCCGGTGGGCACCTCAGTGCTTATTCTCCAGGAACAGGAGGCAGACCACCAGGAAGCTTCCACTTGCAGCAGCCCTTCGTCTGGCGTGGGGTTGCCACTGTCCAGCAGGGGGCAGCAGCCATTAATAAACCCACCCTTGGCTCCCCAGGCACCTAGCCTTGGGACTCACCGAAGCAGCCTTCCTCCTTGGCCTTGGCCTGCAAGAACTGGAACACCTGCTCCGAGTAGCCCAGTTCTAGGGACAGAGAGCAAGTGGTAGACCTGGGCCCTGCGTGCGCACATACACACACGTGCGCATCTTGCCAGAAGTCCTGGCTTCTGAGTACTGCAGGGGACACGGGGGCTCTGCCAAGAAGAGCCTGTGGCACCTCCTGTAAAGGCTGAGGGGATCTGGGGAGCTGCCCACGACTCAGCCAGAGGACCTCACCTGTGTCAGGTAGCTGTCCCTGGCAGAGGAAGGCAGCTGCTTGTGCAAAGGCCCTGAGCAGTGGGTTGAGCAGACGGCAGAGAAAGAGAAAGAAGTCGGGGCAGCGTGACTGCTGGCTGAGCTGGAAGCGGGCAGAGACCAGGCTAAGGGCCTGTCTCTCCCGTCCCCCCTCCCCATGCCGCCCAGCAGCATCCCCCCTGGTGCCTCCTCACAACGCACCCTGAAGTACCGGCCCTCAGCCTCCTGGAAGTCGTCACTGTCACTGTCAGTGAAGTCCCCACTCGGCTTCCACAGCAGCTTTGCACTCAGGCATTGCCGCCCTGTGTCACAGGCCGACCGGGAGCCTGGGATCTGGGGGCCATGGGCCAGTGGTCATGGCCAGGCTGGCCCCAGCCAAGCACACAGGTGGAACTAACAAACGCAGACTAGGGAGCCCAAAAGGATTGCTAGGGCCACACTGGACTATGGACTGCTGAGTACAGTGCAGGGTGAGAAGACACAGGTGCCCGTAGCTACGTGAGTAGGGAATGGGGGAGGGGGGGCGGTGTACAGAGACCCTCTAGCCCATGTCCAGTTCTCTCATGAGGGGCACATGCGCCGAGGGCAGATGTGGCCTGCCCCAATGCTGCAGCGGAGCTTGGACCCCAGACTACTCCAGCTGCTAGTCCAGGGGTCTGCCCATCCCCCAAGCAGGGCTTTGTCCCCCACTGCCCTTCCTACCTCCTCAGCAACCAGGAGCCCGCACTGGATAAGGCGGTCCAGCACCTCCTGGCAGTAGCAGTAGGAAGACTGGCAGGGCTGCAGAGCGGGAGAGACACCCATGGCCTCAGGAGAGCCAGGCACGTGGCAGGGTTGTGTCAGAGGCAAGACACCTACTGCCACGGGTGGTCTTGGGAGTGGGGCTTAGCAGGGCCGCCCTGCTCTACCTCCGGGAGGGCAGGCCCAGGGCTGACCTGCAGGAGCAGCAGGTCCTGTGGCAGCAGGTGCAGCAGCAGCAGTATCTGGCGGTACAGTTCATTCTGGCTCAGCAGCTCCACTTCCTGCAGCTCCCAGCGCCCCTCAGGCCGAACTCTGCCCACCAGCAGCCCCCGCACAGCACAAGCTGGGGGCAGAGAGGGCCACACAGAAGGGTGGGTATGTAAATGGAGCCATCCCTCCCCCACACCCACCCTGGGCCCCTCTGGACTCACCACCCACAGCCTCACTCAGGAAGGCGGGCAGCAGCTCCGCACTCAGACGTGCCAGGTGCATGAGGCTGGGGCCGGGCCGTGGCACCACCACCAAGTCCCCCTGGTGGACGCGCAGCAGTGCCACGTGTGGCCACAGCAGGCCCAGGGTGTGCTGCACAAGGCAGCGGAGCTGCCCGGAGAAGCCCACGTCAAAGCCGCGCAGCAGCGTCTCCTCCGTCAACCAGGAGAAGTCTCCCAGGAGCTGCGACAGGAACACGCCCTGGGCGGGCAGGGCGGGCTGAGCAGGAGGCTGCGCATCCCCGCTGCCCGCCCCGCCACCCCCCCATGGCGTGGCGCTCTACCTTCTGGTGCTTGACCAGCAGCAGCGTCGCCATGATGGCTGTGCTCATCACCGCCGAGCTTGCCACACTGGCTGCGCCGGGAGAGGGCAGGGGCTGATGGTGGCAGGACCAGCAGCCTGGGCCCTCCATTTTGTTCCAACTCTCCCTAACCAGCAGCCACACCCCCACCCCAACCTAGGGAGGAAGGGGGCAGGCCTGGTCCCTGGGCCCTCCCCATCTCTCATGGGCCCCACTCCCCAAGAGCACTACAGAGGAGTCTGGTGAGAGAAGACCTCTGTGGGCCAGGTCCTTGTCCCTTACACACATGGCGGTAAACATGAGCCCATTGTCTGCTACAGAAACTCAGACCCCAGAGGTGATGCCATGGGCCTGGGCCCCACCCTCACTGTCTCCTTGACTGCCTTGCACAGTAGGATTCCACTCTTCTCTGGGTGTCCCAAGTGTGCCCCCTCCCAGGGAGGGTGGATCCGACACAGAAACCCACTTGGGATAGAGGGAACTGACAGCTGGCCAACCCAGAGCTTCCGAGGGGCTGCTTAGGAGCCTGCCACCAGAGGCCCAGATCCAGTCTGCCCTCACCATTCAGGATGTGGCGGCTCAGCCTCCGCACCAGGAGCTGGTCCTCTTCCTGCAGGGCCAGCAGGGGGGCTGTTAGCGGAGTCCACTCCTGCTCCTTCTCGGTGTCTGGGATGGCGGTCCTGGGAAAAAGACCTCCTCTGCCCCCGCTTTCTCAAAGGTAAGGATGTCTCCCCGAAACTAGCCTAGGGATCTATGTGACACAGCCCACACCCAGATTCCAGCAGGGAGTGACACCTGGCCCTGAGCTGTGTGGGGAGGGCAGGCTGGGACCAGTGAGAAGAGAGGAGAGGGAGGGAGGCAGAGGGACAGCCCAGGAAAGAAGTCGTCAGCTTGCCCACAGGTCGGGAGGGCTGGCCCCTGCTCCTACCATCGTCCCAGCACGATGGGCAGCAGCAGCTGCTCCAGGGTCTGCCTGCTGCCCCAGCAGCTTCTGGCATTGATGGTGTATTCCTGTCCGAACAAGGCTCTCTCAGGTGGCCTGCCTTTGCCCACCTGCACACTACCCACCTGAGACGGTTGGGGTGAGTGCAGCTGGGGCTTTGAGGGCCAGGCCGCCAGAACCCTGAAACAGATGACCTGGAGCTCAAAGTGGGCATTCCCAGCCTTGCCTAACAGGCTCCCTACCTGCAGGGAGAAGGGCTGGGCGAGGTGCACACGGACACAGGCCCGGTGGCTACGACCCCAGCAGCTGCACAGGCTCCGCAGGACAGCCAGCGTTCCAGTCCACAGCCCCAAAGGGGTGGGGGCCTGGGCAGGGGTGGAGGGGGAAGGCTGAACATGTCAGTACGGATGACTGCTCACGGCACCCCGCACCCCAAATGTGCACCATCTGGTTCGAGCCTGTTCCTGTCTCTCAGCCCCATGAGATGCCCAACCCTGACCCAGCCAGCAGACGCCAGCCTTCCACCACAGATCTTCTAAGGCCTAGACACATGCTGCAGGACAGTGCCGGCAGGGAGCAGATGCCTTTGCACACCCACTTCCTGGCCCTAGCCCTCCGAGGACCGCACCACAGGAGGTCCCGGAAAGCAGAGGGGTCTCACATGGGACAAGTCAGGCAGTGCATCTGGGACCAGGTCGTAGGTGACAGCCACTGGCACCAGCACAGCATCGGGGATGGTGCCTGCCCGGACTGCCTGCACCACCACTCCCAGCCAGGCCTGACCCAGGGCTGACAGCCGCGGCGCCTGGGGTCCAGGGGGCTCCTCCAGGAAGATGAGTAGGGGCTGCCCGCTGAGCAGCAGCTGCTCTATGGCCTAGCACGGAGGGAGACGGGAGGGTGGGCATCAGGGTCAGAGCAGGAACAGACCCCTGCAGAAACAGACCCACAAGCACTGGGGCACTCACTGTACGGACCACAGTCCTGGCAAGGACTCCCGCAGAGCTGTCCAGGGCAAGGTTGGCTTCTGGAGGCAGGAAAAGTGCTCCCAGCTTCCTCAGCAGAGCTCTGTAGGGCACAGGGTAGATGTTGACGAGGAAAGGGACTTAAGAAATGAGACCAGGCAGGAGGACAGTGGCAACCCTGGCCACTGGGGCCCGCTTGGGTCCTACCTGAACACCCTGAGGCCAGACACGACCTTAGGGCCTATAGCTAACCATTGCTCTGACCCCAATGGTCTGGGCTGGAGGAAAGCTGAGAGCAAAGAGGCCAGGTCTCCAGACTCCCCTCCCTACCCCTGGTCCCAGCCTAGAGACACCCACTGCTATCGGTGTCAGGGTCCCAAGCTTTTACCTGAGGGCAGGGGAGCAGGTGTGGGGGTCCCAGGCCACACGAAGCACGCCCAGGCCCTGGGTCAGCAGCACGAAGGGCAGCAAGATCCCATTGAGGAGCGACTTGTGGGTGGAGAGGAGGACGAGAGGCAAGCCCTGGTTGGGGAGGAGGGGGTGCCATCAAGTGCTGCCAGTCTACGCAATGCCCAAGGGCAGGGAGCCTAGAGGGAGCGGCATCAGCTTCCTTCTAAGCTCATTTCCCCAAAGCTATGCATTTCCAACAAGTGTCAAGGTAGCACACTGACCCAAGGCAATGGTTAGGCCATGATGAAAAGCGGTTAGGGGGGCCCCAGGGGAGCGGGGCCGTGAGACTCTGGGAGGAGGTCGCCAAGGAGCAACGGCTTGTTCCCACCAGCAGATGGGCTGGGCTGGTCCTGACTGCAGGGCCGGATTCCTCTGCTCTCGCCATCCCAAGCCCAGTGGAGGGGGGGCCTCACCCGCTGCGCGGCCTTGCGCGCCATCTTCATGTGTCCCCTGTGGAGCTGCACATTCAGGAAGAGGCAGTTGAGGAGGCGAAGCATCAGCCAGCTGAACAGCCTGGGGAGCAAGGCCCAGTCTGAGGCATGCAGGAAGCCACCATCCTAAAGGGATGGCTCCACAGCAACTGCTGACCAGCAGCCCCCTCCCACTTTCTCACACAAGGCAAGTGCGGCTCAAGACTACAGGACCCGCCTCACAGCAGATGCCAGCGCTGCCAGCCTCAGACGCCCTCCCCTCAAACCCCCTCCCCTCAGCCAGAGTGCATCTCCTATCTCAGATCATAGCTCGGCCTGCTCTGTGCAGAACACTGGCAACAGTGGAGCTGACATAAGGAGGAATGGAAATGACCGAAGGAGCCGAGTCCTTGGGAGATAGGGATTGTCCAGATAGGGATTGTCCTGGGGGGGAGGGGGCGGCTTTAACTGGAGGCAGGAAGGCGTTCAAGCAGGTGCAGCAGTGCAGAGCTAGGGCGGGATGCACAGCATGTTCCCAGGAAGCATCAGTCAGCAGTGAGGGGCGCTGTGCCCCTGCAAGATGGGCCCTCACGAAGGCCTTATCTACCTGGTTGTGTTTTTCTCAAGGGATGTTTGGTCACTTGGGTGAAGGTAGAGAAGGTGGGCAGCTGAGTCCAAACAAACCTGGGGTTCTAGTAGTTGGGGCTTCTTCCCAAAGGCACTGCTCACAGGAGGAAGCAGGGAGTCGAAAGGAGGCCAGAGGGCAGGAGACAGGAGGGCACTGATGGCTGGTGCTCAGTCAGGCCAAGGGGCTGGGCATCTTAACAGCCAAAGCACGGCTGCCAGGAGGTCTGGGGGAGGGGACCCATCCTTGCTCCATCCTCCTCAGCACTTCCAAGACAGCTGACTCTGATGAGCAGCCCGGCGTGCTCCTTCGCTTGCTGATATCCATCCTCTGCTGGGAGCGCGTGTGTGCTAAACCTTGGCCAACGTATGGCCTCTCGCCTCAACTCCAGATGCTTACATGCAACCTCGTACTCACTGTCTCCAAGAGCCAGCCAGGGATCTGAAACTCTTATGTCCCCAACACCCTTCCTTCCCAAGGGCAGCCTCACTCCTGTTCACACCAACAGCTGCTTAGCCAGAAACCCAGCTCACCTGTGACTCCTCTCTTTGTCCCCCAGCCCCCTCTCCACCCAGCCATCAGCAAGGACCGGTGCTTTCACCTTAATCCTTTTTTCAACCTTTTCTGTCACCACCCTGTCCAAGACTTTGTCACGTCTTACCCTAACTACCAAAACAGCCTCCCAAGTGGTCTTCTGGTCTCTACTCTTGACCCCAGTCCATCATGCTTTCACTCCCTGCTTAAAGCCTTTCAGGGCCTGCCTGATCTGGTCCCTTTCACCTGTTTCACCTCAACAACGCTCCTCCTCTCCAGGCTCCAACTACATCAGCTTCTTTCATCTTCTAGAACCAAGCCCTTTCCTGCCCAGAGGCCTTAGTCCATACCAGTCCCTGTATCAGGAATGATCTCCCACCTGTGTTCTCCCAAATCAGGCTCTTTCTCTTCCTTTAGGCCCTGACAGGTCTCTTCCTCCCCTCCTCAGCCTTAGCCTTCTGTCCCTTTCATTTCGCATCTGTTTGCACCTCAGCTGACTTAGGTACCACGTCTGCCCCCTGGAACGATCCCTGCACCTAACAGCTCAAGCATGTGTGGGTGAGCACATGGTGGTGGCCCTCCAGACAGAGGGGAGTGGAAGGAGGCAGGGGGTAAAAGCAGTCTGTAGCCCGCCCTGATAATCACCCAGCTCCACAGGAACGGAGTCCTGCCACCTGCTATGCCTCAGAAGGGGGGGTCCCAGCAGAGACAAGTGGCCCTCGCGCAGACTTACCTGAGCAGCAAGGGGCGGGGTGGGGCCTGGATGTGGTCCAGGACGCGCTGTACCTCTTTCTTCACAAAATTTGGCACCTGACCTTCCCCAGCGCCCCCGGGTGTCCTCCCTAAGATGATGTTCTGTACCCTGTGATGCGGGGGAGGGGGCAGGATGAAGCAGGCCAAGGACCTTGGCTCATGTGCAGAGGTGTCCAAGGTCCCTCCGATCACTTCCCCCCACTCCCCCAGGTGATAGCTGCTCGTCTTCACCCTCCATTATCCCAAAAACCTTGCAGGAAGGGCTTCAGACAAAGCTATTACTCTAGAAGCCTGTCACTAACGAACTCTCTCAGCCTCAAACCGTTGTCTTGGCTTGGAGGATGCCAGAAGTATCAGCCTGGGCTGTCTCTGCCTCCTTACCCAGGGCTTTCCAGGATCTTCTGTGGGATATCCTGGCAGGAGGGTATTTGCTGTTCCATTGACCACAGGAAATAGCAGAGCCTCCGAACAAGCCAGCCTCGAAACCTGAACACAACTCCAAGGCGGAGGGGAGAGCTTTTAAAGAAAGACATACCCATACACCACACTCCCAGGGCCACAGAGGCCTACCCCAGCAGGATGGGACCCCACCCCACGGCCCACTTTCCAGAACATCCGAGTCCGGCTCATCATAGAGCAGGGAGAGCTGCCCACCTGTGCCCTGTTCCCAGCCTTCTCTCAGCTGCGTGGGGTACAGGGTCAGGGCCAAACACCCAGGGTCAATGAAAACTCCCCAAAGGAGCTGTGGGTGAGCCCCAGCCTAGTTCCGCCAGCCAGGCTGCACAGCAGAGGGTATTCATGGGTCCTCTGTGTTCATCCGAAGACAGGAAGCCAGCAGCCCTCAGTCCCAGGGCCGCGGCCCACACCCACCCAGCCCCCACCCTAGCTGGGACTACCTGGTGTTTTCCTCCTTCACCAAGATGACATTGCAGAAACCGAGATCTGTAATGCTTCTGTGGAAGAGGTCCTCCTGCCGAGGGGCGGGAGAACATGTCCCGGGGCCTTCTCGGGCCACAAAGACCCACCATGCCTTGT